AATTGGTCGGCAGAGCCGATCAGTCCCCAACTCCCAATAGGGAGTGGTCGGCCGAGCCGACCAGTCTCCAACCAAGGAGAGAATGAGGAGCAGCAGATTATGTCTAACAAGAAACAGACTATGCTGAGATGCTCCTTTTCAATGAAGCCATCAGTGCTTTTGTTAGTTGAGCTTCCCCTCAAAGGTCAGCGTTTCACTTGACTAATAAACAACACCCACCGTTGTTGAAGCGCCTTGACTGGTTTTTCACCTCTGCTAGTTCAACAACTGCTTATCCAAATACCTCAGTGTCAACACTGACCATGGAGACCTCAGATCATGTCCCTTGCCTGATTAGCATCTCTACTGATATACCTAAGGGTCATATTTTTCGTTTTGAGAATTTCTGGCTGCAGCGTGAAGATTTTCTGCCCCAGGTTCAGTTAGGCTGGTTCTCTCCTGTCTATTAGCAAGATGCTGCCAAAAATATTACAACAAAATTTAAGAACCTCAGAAAAATTCTTAAGCAATGGAAGCAGTCCTTGTCTAGCATGCATGAAAACATTCAGAATGTTAAGCTTCTCCTTTCTTTCATGAATTTCTTCAGGAATGCAGAGATCTTTCTCTTATTGAGTGGAATTTTAGAAAGATCTTGGATGAAAAGTTCATTTCTCTACTGCAGCAGCAAAAGGCCTATTGGAAGCAGAGAGGGGCTATCAAATGGGTCACTCTCGGAGATGCCAGCAATGGAAACATCTTGGTGAATCATGCAGACAAAGCTAATTTGATCTGGCTCTCCTTCAAAGACAGGTTAGTTACCAGTAATTTTACATCAGTTAACTATGATTTGGCTTCTTTCTTCTCAGCCAATCCAGATTCTTCTATGCTGGTGCTTCCTTTCTCAAGAGATGAGATTGATTCTGTGATCAAAGCCATGCCACCAGATAAGGCTCTAGGCCCAGATGGGTTTAACACTGACTTTATAAAGCACTGTTGAAATATTATCTGTGATGACTTTTACAAGATGTGTGATGATTTTTACTCCAACCAACTTTGTCTTCAGAGTATTAATGGATCCTACATTACTCTAATTCCCAAAAAGGATGATGCCCAAAAGGTTTCTGATTTTAGACCAATCTCCTTGCTCAATACCTCTGTGAAGATTATCACCAAGTTGTTGGCTAATAGATTACAAAGGACCCTGCCATCTCTCCTGCATAAGAATCAATATGGGTTCATTAAAAAAGAACAATTCAAGATTGCATTGCCTGGGCCCTTGAATATTTGCATATGTGTCACTGCAGGAGCCAGCAGGAAAGAGATTATAATTTTAAAGCTTGATTTTGAGAAAGAATTTGATAAGGTGGAGCATGATTTCATGTTACAAATCATGGATCAAAAAAGACTGCCACCTAGATGGTTGCAATGGATGAAAGCTATTTTCAAGTCTGGCACATCTGCTGTTCTTTTAAATGGAATCCCTGGAAAAGTTTTTCACTGTAGAAGGGGTGTTAGGCAGGGTGACCCCCTCTCTTCTCTCCTTTTTGTGTTGGCAGCAGACTTCCTTCAGAGTTTTCTTAATAATGCAAGGGTCAACAATCTCTTGAGCCTTCCCTTGCCATTGACACATGATCTTGATTTTCCCATTTTACAGTATGCTGATGACACCTTAATCTTCATGAAAGGTGATGTTACAGAGCTTATTCACTTAAAGGAAATCTTGTCCAACTTTGCTGAGGCCTCTAGTTTAAAAGACAATTAAGAAAAATTTGTGATGGTTCCTATCAACATTTCTGAGGAGAGGTTACATATGCTGGCCACCTCGTTTGGATGCCCCATAGGTTCCCTACCTTTTATCTATTTGGACCTCCCCCTGAGTTTGTCAAAGCCTTCTGTTGCTGATTTTTGGCCCTTAGTTTCCAAATGTGAGAGAAGATTGGTTGCCTTTTCATCCTTACTTAATGAAGCTGGCAGGTTGCAGTTGACTAATGCCATTCTTACAGCCCTTCCAACTTTTGCAATGTGCACCTTTCTTCTCCCAAAAACTGTGGTCAAACAAATTGACAAATATAGAAAACACTGCCTCTGGAGGGGTTCTGATATTCATAGCAAAAAACCTCCATAAGCAGCCTGGTCTATGGTGTGTTCTCCAAAGGATGAGGGGGGTCTTGGTGCTCTTAACATAACTGTTCAGAATGAAAGCCTTCTTTTGAAGCATCTTCACAAATTCTTTAACAAGGCCTCAATTCCCTGGGTCCAATTAGTTTGGGATAAGTACTATACAAGGGACAGATTACCAGTTCAAACACCCGATTTCAGAGGTTCCTTTTGGTGGAAAGATATTATCAAATTGCTTCCTCGGTTCAAAGGCTTGGCTACAGTCTCTGTGCATGATGGTAAATCTTGTTTCCTTTGGCATGATCTTTGGGGTACTGGTGTGTGTACTCAATTGTTTCCTGAGCTTTTCTCATTTGTCAAAGATGAGAAGATTTCTCTCTTCAAGGCTTCCACTACTGCTGATCTTCATGATCTTTTTCATCTCCTTCTGTCATCAGAGGCTTATGATCAGTATTTGCAGCTCTTGGCTATTCTTCATGGCTTGCAATTGCAACAGATCCCTGATCAATGGATCTATATTTGGGGCTCCCCCCTCTTTGTGTCTAATCGTGCTTATAGATGTCTGATTAGTCATCGAGAAGTCCATGTTTCTTTCAGATGGTTGTGGAGAAATTTTTCTTCTGGTTGGTTCTCAGGATCGTCTGAACACCAGGGTTATGCTTCGCAGGCGCCATATGCATTTACCTGACTAGAGTTGTGTTCTCTGCCACTATAATATTGATGAAGATCAGGCACATCTTCTTTTTCACTGTCCATTTGCAACTGCTTGCTGGTACACTTTGTTTCTGGTGGTGCCAAACTTTGAGGACCCCTGCCAAATTGTTGAGAGTTTTTCGGATCAGCCACGTCTAGCTTTTGCCATGGAAATTATTATTATTACTATGTGTTGGTCTATTTGGATAGTACGCAATGATGTAATCTTCAAAGGCATTCCTCACTCGGTTCGTCGCTGCAAGTCAATCTTCAAGGAGTTTGCTCTGGTTATCCTTAGAACAAAGGCTGCGTTTCATCCTAGAATTGACTTATGGCTATAAGCTTTTGTGTAATTCTTCTAACTTTTTTCCTGACCTTCTTTGTTTCGTGATACGGTGTTGTAAACGCTTTGTTTTAAATTTTACTTAAGTTGTCCAGTAGGGGTGCAAACCCCTCTTGTTTCTTAAAAAAAAAGGTGCTCCTTAGGTGATGCACCAGCTGACTGCTATTAAGTTGATGATCTATGAAAACCATGGGTTGGGACAGCCCTGAGATTAGACTAGCCACAGTGTGCGGCGATGCTAAAAAAATATTTTGGTGCCATCTCATTGCCGATGCCGCCGAGACTGTCCACTGCGAATGAAAGGTGCATACAAACTGTAATTATATTTTATTTACTCAGCACCGAGGCATTTCTTTACTCGAGGCTTGGATTTTTCAACTTAGCGTTATGATGCACAATGGGACAACTCGATGCCAGCATGGATAAATTCCTAAGCTATGGGTAGTCTAACACAGGGGTGTTTGGTTCCAAAGGACTAAACATTAGTCCCTATCACATCAAATGTTTGATACTAATTAGGAGTATTAATATAGACTAATTATAAAACTAATTATATAAATTCGCGAGACAAATAATTAGGCTTAATAGATTTGTCTCGCGAATTAGTCTTGGCTTATGCAATTAATTTTATAATTAGTTTATGCTTAATCCTCTTAATTGTCATCTAAACATCGACATGGACTAAATCACTCCCGAGGTACCTCCGGTCGTTCTCGAGGCCGTGGCTCCAGTGATTCGCGGTTCTTTAATTCTTTAATTTTAAGGGCACGTTTAGTTGCCTGCATTAGCCCTCAGCCAGGCTCTGCGGATGCGATAACAGGCATTTGTTTGGTTAGCGTATTTGTCGGGCCAGCCTCTGCGCGTGCAAGGAATCCACCGCAGCTAGGCTCTGGAGGAACGCAAAAATCGGCCTTTTTGCAGGGCCAGGCTCACGTGGTACGGGTAATTAGCCATCTAATTACGCTATTAATTCATTATTAGCACATATTAAATGATATTAACATATTTTGATTAATATTGAGTAATAACATAAACTAAGAGCTATAAGATAATAGTTGCCCATAATAAATATCGTGATGATGATTATTTATATATTTTGATCTCATGTAATAACCCGTCTTCCTGCGAGCGACCAACCAGCTTCTTAGGACAGCCTGGCTTATGTAAACAGGCAACCAAACACCACACTCTTGCATGCATTGAGCCTGGCTACTCCTCCCATACGAGCCGGGCTCAGTTCATACGTGTTCCAAACACGCCCTAAAGATCTCTGATGGAAAGGGGAGATACCGAGGCAGTCATGGGTGGGCTATTCTTTCCCTATTCGTTTTGGCCGTTTGACGACTCCGATGCTGCACACTACTCAGCATTGGCCAACGGTGCACGGTGGAATCCATCATAGGGAGGCTCAACGATGGAAACAAGGCATCGTCCTAGCACAGCTGCAGTGTGGAAAGAAAAAAGCATTGAAGCCATCCGTGACTCTTGAAATAAAATAGTCAGTACATCACTCTTTCTCTCCATACTCACGGAGGCAAGGTACACTGCACTGACTTGCCTCGCTCCTTTTCTTAGCTTCAGTCGAAGTTGGCATCACCGGTTGCAGTGCGAGGAGCGGTGTCCAAATCTTCTCTCCTTTCTTAGCTTCACTAGAGCATATACTACTACCTCAAACTCAACTCTTCGTACAGCCACACCAGCAAGGCAGCAATGGAGGTGGCAGTGTTGAGCGCCTTCTCAGGGGCAATGGCATCGCTCCTCTCCAAGCTCACCGGCTTGCTGTAGCAGGACTTCAAGCTGGCTAGAAGCGTGAAGGAGGACATCGTCTCCCTGAGAGACGAGATGAGCACCATCAACGCTTTCCCTCATGGAGCTGTCTCAGATGGAGGAGCCAATTGACGATCTGCATAGGGAGCTCCGTGGCAAGGTGCGTGAGCTAGCCTACGACATGGAGGACTGCGTGGACATATTCATGCATCGCCTCGACGACGTTAGTAAGGCCGGGTTTCTTCGCGAGCTCAAGACGCTCAGGGCACGCTGTGAGATCGCCAAGCTGATCAGCGCCCTGAAGGCTCGAGTGGCACGACTGGGCAATCGACACAAGCTGATCATCCAGCTGCCCGAGCATCCTCGCGCCGTGCGCGTCGATCCTCGGATACAGGTGCTCTACCAAAATGCTGCCAACCTTCAAGGCATAGGCGGCCAAAAGGAGAAGATCGTGGAGTTGCTCCAGGATGGGGCACCTCAGCGGAAGGTGGTGTCCATCCTGGGGACCGGAGGGATTGGCAAGACAACTCTTGCCAACCAGGTGTACACTGCCATCAAAGGCAAGTTTGACTACACCGCTTTTGTATCGGTGTCCCGAATCCCAGATTTGGCCAAAGTCTTGTCAGATATAATCATACAGTCTAGGTGGTATTCTAGAAGATGAGAACAAACTCATCAGCGACATCCGTCAACATCTCTAAAACGAAAGGTACTATTACGCTCTGTTGCTCATACGGCTAGGCTATTCTTTTAACAACAAAGCAAAAGATCTGCCTCTGCGTGTTTTTGTACCTACACTAATCCCAGTCTTTTAGAAAAATCATACTTAATCATATCAGAGAAAAAGAAAGATTTGGGGATTTCAACTGCTTTCAAATGCTAAATCAAGCTCATGTATTAACATTTTATTAGAATATGAATAGCCTACAAATTTGTATAGTTTAGAATGAAGAGCCTTAGTAGTTGAACAGCAATGTAACTCTTTTATAAACTCTAGATCAATCAATCGAACAGCACGGATTATTCCTCTCACATGGTACTCTCCTGTAGCCCCATCCATCGCCCCCCCCCTCCATCCATGGCTGACGATGCTCAGGCTGCCGCTGATCTGGCTGCAGTCATCATCGCTGCTCTTCCCCCTCCACCAGCCGCAAGCCTCGCTTCGGCGCTCGCTACAATCAATGTCAAAACCCATATCCCCTTCGCTCTAGAACTTGATCCACCCAACTACTCCACCTAGTGTGAACTATTTCTCACCCTCGTCGACAAGTTCGGTGCGCTATCTCACATCGATGACACACCGGCGCCTGAAGACCCCGATGCTTCGTGGTTGGCTTGATCTACTCGTCGTCGTCACTTCGCATGATGCGCTTGATCATGGAGACCAGCGCCACTGCTCACACCATTTGGACCAAGGAGGCCAACCTCTTCCTTGACAACAAGGTGTCTCGCGCCATGACTCTTGAAGCCAAGTTCGGTGCCTTGCCCAGGGTGACTTACCGGTGCTCGAGTTTGCTCAGCGACTTAAGGACCTCGTTGATGGGCTCGCCGATCTAGAGCAGCCCGTCAACGACTCCACGTTGCTTCTCGCCCTTCTCCGCGGTGTCAACGGACCACTCCGTGGCTGGCCTCCATTCTGAAGATGAAGACCCCACTGCCCTCGTTCCTCGAGGCCCAGTCGCTGCTCGCCCTGGAGGAGTCTGAACTCCTGGCTTCCACCTCGGCCGCTGTCTTCACCACACCCAGAGGCGCCCTCGTGCCCTTGTCCTCCTGCGCCGGCGGCTGTGGCCTTCGCTGCAACTCCAACACCGCCGGCCCCTCATCCTCCGTCTCGTCCTTGGGGGCGAGGCAAGGGAAGGGACAGGGTAGTAACAACACCTGGCGTGCTCCCCGTCCATGGTTCAACCCGTGGAGCGGCCAATTTCAGATGTGGCCCATGTCGAGCCAAGGTATTATGGGCGCTCGCCCGGGTGGAGGCCCGTTCCAACAACAATTTGGTCCACCGCCACCGTTTTGGGCACTACTCCAGGCGCTGGTAAGGCGCACCTTGTTGTGGCTCCTCATCCCAGCTACCCCTATGGCGCCTACCCCTACGGTCATGGCATCCACGGTCTCCACGGCGCCCCTGACCTGACAACGTCCGGAACCAGGCCACCCTGGCAAACGTCTTCAACATGATGATGAAGAGCCTTAGTAATTGAAGAGTCATGAAACTCCTTTATAAACTCTTGACCAATCAATGGAACAGAAGGGATTATTCCTCTCACACACTGGACCCACACGCCTGAAACAATATGTGAGAATTGTGAACTGTACATTTATGCAATCCTATACTCTTATAAAGCTAAACCGCACAAGAAATTTCTCTCAACATGGAAGCTATCCACATCAACAATCAACTAGAACTTGCAATTATAGCCAACTAGCACTTGTAATTATGATAGTTATCTCTTCATCCACCAACATGCGCTTAGCTATCCACATCGATATATCAAACCATTCACTAAAATTAATTTAAGATAGTTTCATTTATATAACTATAAATATAAATAGTCTAATTTCTTTTTAAATTATCTGGAATCTTCGCAGCAACGCGCGAGGTATTCTCCTAGTATATGTGATGAATAATTTCATTTTTTTTCCCTAGCAGGTACCTTATTGTTATTGATGATATGTGGACAATAGAAGCATGGAACACTATCAAGTGCTGTTTTGTGGAGAATAATCGTGGTAGTGTTATAACTACTACACGTATTGAGGATACAGCTAAGTCATGCTGTTCAAGCTTCCATGGCTATGTGTACAGGATGGAACCTCTTAATGATGTTGACTCGAGGATATTATTTCACAGAAGGATTTTTCATTCATAAGATGCTTGTCCGGAACATTTTGGCAAGTCATCAGGAGGTTGGTTCGACAGAAATCTGGGAGAAGATAATGCATTCCGTTCGGTTCCAGTTGGAAAGAAGCCCGGCTTTTGAATGGCTGAGACATGTGTTTAATCTTGGCTACAATGATTTATCTCTAGAACTCAAGACATGCATGCTATATCTTGGAATTTTCCCAGAAGATCACAAAATAGTTAAGGATGATTTGTTGAGACGATGGATAACTGAGGGTTTTGTTACTGAAAAGCATGGTGTCATCCAAGAGGAGATTGCAGAGAGTTACTTCAATGAACTAATTAACAGAAATATGATTCAAATAGCCGAGTTCGATGACTGTGGGGAAGTATTTTCTTGTAGACTGCATGATATATTGCTTGACTATATCATACTGAAGTGCACAGAGGAAAACTTCATCACTATAATTGATGGCCAGCATAGCACGAAAGGCCCTTTGGATGTTCGTCGGCTATCCCTTCGTGTCAGAAACTCAGAAAGCAATGACGTTGTGGAGAACATGGCTCTGACCCAGGCTAGGTCATTTAACTTCTGTTGGCCTACCAAATGGCTGCCTTCTCTGACAAAATTTCGACTCCTGCGAGTTCTAAATCTTGATATCTATTGTTCCATGGATAGTAGGCGGTACGACATGTCTTGTATTCTCAGTTTGTTCCAACTGAGATACCTGAGAACCAACGGCATTCCCAGTAATGAGAAACTGCTAACACAACTGCGCAAGCTAGAACAACTGAAGACACTGGAGGTAGTCAGAGAAGATGGTAATTTCGTTCTGGATGTTCAGATGTTACCCTCGACGTTGTGGCATCTGATTCTTCCGGATGCTGTGAAGCTGGCAGGTGGGATCAGCCATTTGAGAAACCTCCGTACATTAAGTGAATTTGAAATAAAACTCCATGATGTGGGGAGAATGAAGGAGCTCGGCGAGCTGACCAATCTCAGGGAGCTGAAGCTGTTTCAGCGTTCATATGGTGTGGGAGACACTAGTGAAGTTCTACTCTCTTCCCTCTGCAAACTCGTCAACCTTCGGTCCATAGTCGTCCGCAGAGGACGCCTCAAAGAAGATGTCTTGGCTCGTTGGTCGCCGCCTCCGCGCCATCTCCGCCGTCTACATGTGCTGGAATGCATCTTCTCTACCATCCCAGCTGATTGGATCACCCACCTTAATAACCTCGGCAGCTTGGAAATCCTAGTCCGGTCGCTGCCAAGCGATGGCATTGTCATTCTCGCCAGGCTCACCTTGCTGGTGCACCTCAAGCTACACGTCAAGGAGCATGTCCCCCGAGAAGGCTTCGTGGTTTTCCACCGCGCGGCGTTCCCAAACCTCAGGGAGATGTGGTTCCGATGGGAGGCGCCTTGCCTTGTGTTCGAGGCGGGGACCATGCCGAGGCTTTGGAGCCTGGTTATAGATTGCTATGCGCAAGGGGCGCGGCAAGCCGATGGTGTGCTTGACGGCATCGAGCACCTTGGTAGCCTCGTGGAGTTTAAGGTACATGTTTACGAGCAAGAGGGCTACATTTCCAGGATGTTGCATTGCGCTGACCGTAAGAGACCACGAGTGGAGGAGCAACGGAGGTGGGACGGGACAAGCCTGAAGGCTGCGCTCAAGGAAGCCATCAGCAAGCATCCGGGAAGCCTTCGCGTTGTCATTGAAACCGTGTAATAAGCTCAAAGCATGATCTAGGGGAGACTGTAAAAGAGGTGTATTTCCCCTCTTGGAGCAAATAGATCAATATATAGTGTTATTAGAAATAAAGCTATGTATGGATAGAGATAATTGAATCGAAGTGAAACTCTAGAGACAAAGATAGAAATAGAATCTTAGAGGTGAAATAAGATATATTAGACTTAGACCCAATATAACTTATCTTGTATTCCAGATCCTATCATATGTACCTATAAATATCTCCTGAGTTTAAATACAATCAACATGGAGAGGGGGGAAAAAAACATAACCACACCGATTTTTTATACAGAAGAAAATTGGGGAATTCAGTTGCATACCTACTACGGAATATTTTACTTTCCTAACTGTGGCTGTAAATTCAACTTTGTAATAACCCATGTCGCGGTCAGCATAAACGACTTTTTCTTAGCTGTTACCGGTGTTTCATGCCATGGAGTCTTGGTAATGGTATCGGTGTTCCTGTTTTCTTTAAAAAAATATTCCCTCAGGTCTGATTGCACATGATCATGAAGTCGTAATGCTTCCGCAGTGCTAAAGCTGTGTATTCATCTACCAGCCAACCCTAGAGGGGTAGCAATGTATATGGGTCATACATGGGCCTCATGGGCCTAATATACTCCAACACCCCTCCGTAGTCTGAACTACCGGCGCAGCGGAGTTACAGACTGGACATGAAAAGAAGCACACACACAAGCCCCCTCACAGACGCAACTAGCCACTAATGATGTTGAGGCTGGAGCGAAATTCGCTGAAGGTCGATGACGGGAGGCCCTTGGTGAAGATGTCGGCAAACTGGGAGGTGGTCGGGACGTGGAGGACCCGAACATCGCCGATGGCAACTCGATCACGGACAAAGTGTAGGTCGATCTCCACATGCTTAGTCCGTTGGTGCTGCACGGGGTTGGTGGAGAGGTACACCGCACTGACGTTGTCGCAGTAAACCAGCGTGCTCCGGGAGAGAGGCCTGTGGAGCTCGGCAAGGAGCTGTCGGAGCCAGGAGGCCTCAGCCACGCCGTTAGCGACAGCGCGGTACTCCGCCTCGGCACTGGATCGGGAGACCACCGGCTGGCGCTTGGACGACCAAGACACCAGGTTGCCGCCCAGAAAGACAGCGTAGCCGGAGGTAGAGCGCCGAGTGTCCGGACACCCGGCCCAGTCGGCGTCAGTGTAGACGACGAGCTCGGTGGAGGAAGACCGCTGAAGGAGTAAGCCGTAGTCGATAGTGCCGCGGAGGTAGCGGAGGAGGCGCTTGAGCGCAGTGAGGTGAGGCTCTCGGGGATCATGCATGTGAAGGCATATCTGCTGCACTGCATAGGTGATGTCTGGCCTGGTGAAGGTGAGGTACTGAAGGGCACCTGCAAGACTCCGGTAAGCAGTGGGGTCTGCCACGGTGGTTCCCACGGCCTCGGACAGCTTGCCCTGTGTGTCAACTGGAGTAGAGCAGGGCTTGCAGTTAGTCATCCCAGCACGCTCCAGAATATCAAGAGTGTACTGCCGCTGGTGAAGGAGAAGGCCGGTGGGGCGAGGCTCAACAGTGACACCGAGGAAGTGGTGGAGCACCCCAAGATCCTTCATAGCAAACTCCTGCTGAAGAGAGGCGATGACACGGCTGAGTAAGGACGGACTGGAGGCTGTGAGAACAATATCATCAACGTAGAGCAGCAGATAGGCAGTCTCAGCTCCATGATGATAGATAAACAGGGACGTATCTGACTTGGCCTCCACAAACCCCAGTGTCAGCAGGAAAGCAGCAAACCGAGAGTACCACGCCCGGGGGGCCTGCTTGAGGCCGTAGAGAGACTTGTTGAGCCGGCAGACCATGTCCGGACGAGAAGAGTCAACAAACCCCGCTGGCTGGCTGCAGTATACTGTCTCGGTTAGGGTCCCGTGGAGAAAAGCATTCTTGACGTCCAGCTGATGCACGGGCCAAGATCGACTGAGAGCCAGGGAGAGCACTGTGCGTACGGTGGCCGGCTTCACCACGGGACTGAAAGTCTCATCATAATCAACTCCAGGGCGCTGGGTGAAACCCCGGAGAACCCAGCGAGCCTTGTACCTCTCAAGGGTACCATCAGCCCGCCGCTTGTGTGTCCAGATCCACTTGCCAAAGGACGACGTTGGAGCCGGTGGACGGGGCACCGATCCCATGTCCGGTTGATTTAGGAGAGCAGCGTCTCTTCTTCCATCATGCTGGCGCCAATGAGGGTCCGACAAGGCGTCGCGGACGGAAGAGGGTACAGGAGAGATCTGCGGGTCATCGGGCATCGTCGCGAGAGCCCGGGGCCGCAGGGTACCAGCCGCGTGTCGCGTCACCATAGGGTGAACATGCCGCGGGTGTCGGTGAAGGAGTGGCGGGTGGTACACCGGCGACACGACATGGGCAGCTTGAGGTGGCGGCGGCGGTGTAGGGGTCGCCGGCGGAGAGGGGGCCCCCGGTGGTACCGGAGGCAGCGGTGCCGCCGGCACACGGCGCTGGTAGACGTGCACCGGCTGGGCGAAACGCGCAGGAGGTGCGACAGGCGGTGTCCCCGGACCCGCGGCGGACGGAGGGGTAGGTGCAACTCCGGAGGGTGACGCCTCCTGACCCGTGTAGGGCGCAGGGCCAGGGGCGTCACTGGTGGGCGGCGAGCGGGGGCACGGGCCCGGCGAGGGGCACGGGGAAGCATTACCTGCAGGAGACAGCGGGAAAAATGGCTGGACCACCGTGTCAGTGGGAAACATAGAGAAGGTGTCAGGATCGGGGGTGGAAGGTGGTGCCATGCTAAAGCTGTGTATTCATCTACCAGCCAACCCTAGAGGGGTAGCAATGTATATGGGTCATACATGGGCCTAATATACTCCAACACGCAGTTTGAGCAAACCACGTCCTTCTCTGACAACTGTACCTAAAATGCCATGCCTATTCAGACAAACAAATGTCATGCCAACTCATTCTCATGCGACCTTATTAAAAAAACTCATTCTCATGCAACAGTTACGCATCCAGAATAGTCTTGCAGCATGTGCAGGACGTGCACATCATTTGATAGATAATAAGACAGCGCATAAACACATCTTTAATTTCGGCTGCCAACGCAAGCAATTTCCAACAGTACGGCACCATTTTTCAGCTAAGAGGTGCACATATAATGATATGCATAATTGAAAACAGTGATGACGAATTGACGATAATCAAGGTGATAGAGACTAGCAAACTTAGGCAAAGAATATAACAAGTTCCAGGGGAGCAAATGCTATTTACTTAACAGTTGTTAGGACAAAACCAAGAAAACATGGAGGGGCAAGAAAAAATACAAACACACCGATAAATTTTATACAGAAGAAAAATGGTGGGTTGAATTATTCGATACATCACACGTTACTAAACTATATGCTTCTTTGGCTACACAGCACTGTCCTCCAACCTTGCTCTTCCGTCTTCCCCCCTTCACCCAAATTACTCACAAATCACAAAGTATAAAATACACTTGCCAAGAAGAATTTCAATATAAATACAACATATGCAGGCAACAGTGTCCAAAATGGTGCTCTTGGCCTTGAAGTTAACCACTAGGCGCCGCAATTGGTATGTCTTCCATACTCTTTTGGAACATTATCTCAGTAGGTTTTAAACACCCACGAATGTACTCCTGCCCAAGTTGTGCTCGTTCATTGTCCCCGAACCCGAATACAATGCCCTTATTTGTAACTGCAACAGTGTGATACAGTCCAGTGCTTATTTGGGAAACGTAGTGATCCTGCAGGCTCTCAAGAACGCGGGGCCTCATTACTTTGTCCGATGATCCTCGGTCAGAAAACCCTAAACTCCCAAAGCCCATCCATCCAAATGCTACGACTGAGCCCTCGTTTGTGAGCACAAAGGTCTTTCTCTTCCTTGCACATACCTAAAAAAATAAGAAAAATATGAAAGGTTTCAGACATGGAACTGATAAGTAACGCATGTGTCAATAGCAAGGGCACTTTAGTTAGACCAAGAAATTTGTATAGATCATCTTGCTGCATAGAAGAATTGATTTAAACTTGTAAAACAAATAATTTGCAATGCCACTTTTATTTAACAAGCAAAGTGCTTGCTAAATATCTTCCTCGCCAATAAATGGAACAGACCTGCACAGCAACTTGGCCCTTCAAGCTGCTGATCAACTCTGGGCTAGTTTTATCATTCTCATCACCATGACCTAAGGCTCCACAGTATCCTCTGCCCCAAGTATAAACCTGTAAATTCAGACTTTACACTTATGCCTGGAGAGCAATCATTAACAATATATATGTGAATGCGAACAGGACAATATAGACTTACGTATCCTAGTGCATCAAGAGCCACAGCATGCTCATCTCCAGCAGAAACACGGACTACATGAATGTTCCTCCTCTTAAATGATTGGACTGCACGAGGGAGAAGTTCGTCGTGCTGATCCCCATGTCCAAGGCAGAAATTAGTGCAAGACCCAAAGGAATGAACTGTTCCATCATCTGTTACAGCAAACGTGTAGCTTGCACCGGCTGCAATCTGCACCACCTGAGTGGGGCCTTCAAACAACTCAATAAGCTTTGGAGTGGCCCTGTCTATGGTGTCACCATGACCAAGTTGGCCATGTGTATTACTTCCACAAGTGTATACTTGTCCATCCCTTGTAAGAATCACAGTAAAACTTAGACCAGTAGCAACCTGTGAAAAGTTAATAAGATAGCATCAGATTCCGAATACTGAATTACAGAGGCAAAATGAAAGATCTTAATGGCTCAGAACAAAATCTAGGCAGCCTAGTGAATAAACAATATATAAAGATGCAATATAGATAAGCGTAGAAATAGATACATATAACACGGTGAATGAGTGTTCATTGTTCAATGGAGAGCTGATTTAATAGAAAGTATGAAACTGAACTAGCAGCAAGGATCAAAAGATGAGAATCACTTGCCCCATAAAGAAAAACAGAGAATTAGGTGGTTTACCCTCAGGGCCTGAGCTGTAAGACAGTTTCCAAGATCTGTGCACATGCACATGATTAAGCAGGGAAGGGATCATTAACATGGATTAAGTCAGTTTTTTAGTACTGACATATATACAGAAAGCTTCACGATGTGAGGCATTTATTGATAAAATCTTTAACATATGAGTCATACTGATTAACTACAGAATGTGATTTCAACAAGAAATAGAAAAATGGGGATGAGATAAACATGTGCAAATACAATACTCTAGAAATCAATGGAAATCTTCAGAACTAAGTTACAGTTTCACAGAAAAATTATAAGAGAGTGGCAGGACATATTCAATTTAGAAAATTTTAAGTAGATCAGACTGAGGAATAAGTACAGGAGTATCATTAGGGACAAAACATAAAAGGATGAGAAAGATCTGTTGTCCCACCTGCTTGCAGGGAATCCCTTTAAGAGCTTCTACTTGCATTGGTCGAAATATAGTTCTCCCCACTTCGCCATGACCACAGCATAATGATGAATTATCACCACAGGTGAAAACCTATTTAGACAAAACCCTTCAGAACACCAAGGCAAGGAAAAGTAGTAATACAGCAATAGGCATAACTGGCTTCAATTAAGGAGATCATAAATTACCTCCCCAGACTCTGTAACGAAAGCAGCATGATTGTGTGAAGCAGAGATGTTTATAACACGAGAAAGTGATGGGAACGAAACCCGACTGAATGCCGCACACTGTGTAGTATCTGGGCCATGACCTAGCACACCACACAAGCTGGACCCACAAGAATAGACAGAAGAGTCATGGACCAAAAGTGTGTGATATCTTCCTGTGGCTACTTGCATCTGGAAACATACAGGAGGTTCACATGTATAAGGAAACAATTTGGAAACGACAAAAAAATTGTAGCGGTTTCAATGCCATCCAACATCAGGGAAACTTGTCTCCACAAAAGAAGACAACTAGATTTTTCTGATTTGATATTATTATTTTTCTGAAAAAATATGTAACGTGACAATTAGCAGTGAGCTTGAATACTAGTAAACTTGTAGTCTTGTAACGATATTGAATAAGCCACAAGACTCAGTATAATTAAGATAAATAGTATGTCCAAAACGCCACCATGCACTGTACAGAACAAATCCACTCTACCAGGAATTATATGGCAACTATCATTACTATGAGAAGTTATAATCGCATCCCAATGTAAGAAATTAAGGCATAATTTATATTTAAAGTAATTAGGACATTTGTAGCACAATAGCAACTCAATTTACCAGGGTTTCACCATCACAAACAATCACTTCCGAACGGTTTCAGATTGTAATTGTGCAGTATATTACAAAGTTAGCATTGTTTGGCACAGGAAAATGCATATCAGCATGTCAATACAGGAACATTAACATGTTAATCAATCTGAGATAAGTTGTAAAATCCCCTCCCAACTCCGAAACAAGAAAATTTGATCTATATTTGCCTAGCAAAAGAATGACTTAAATCTGTTTATAATGACTAACATGTGCTAAATATCCCATTTAAGCCACACATGGGTGTTCTTATCAAAAAAGGACGTACCCAGTGCAGAGAGCTCCCGCTCTGTGCGGGGTCTGGGAAAGGGTGTCAGTGGCAAGCCTTATCCTCGCCGAGGAGACCGCGACTCGAACCCGGGACCTTCCGGTCACAAGCGGAAAGACTCTACCACTTGCACCAGGCCCGCCCTTCATGGGTGTTCTTATCAGCTTCAAATTATTAGCTTCTTTTAAAGCTTTAGCACATAAGCCATGCATAATTAAACATGTCTTGGTAATTACAGTATTCCAAAGTGGGCGGAGTCCAGAGTGTGAGGCAAATATTTCTAAAACACAGGATAATCTCATGGCCGTACATACTAGATATGAAGATTGAATTTTCACTAGGCCTCATAGAGTGAAGTGAAAGGAAGAAAGGAAGGATGCTCACGCTGCCCGATGAGGTCTCGACCGTGCCTGACGACTGCTCGACGGACTGCAGGAACCTGAGCACCTTTTTCCAGCTTCCCCCGCACCTCTCCAGTAGCTCCCCCCGGGCGGCGGGCCCCATGGCCGCGAACGCGGCCCGCGCGGCGCAGAGCTTGGACGCGGCGTACTCGGCGAGCGGCCTGAGCGCGCGGCAGGTGGCCTCGAGCCTGGCGAGGTCGGCGGCGGCGAGCCCGCCCGAGGTCAGGACCTCTCCGATGAGGTGGCCCGGAAGCTCCTCGATGGAGAACGCGCGCGGTGCCTTCTCCCCGGCCATGGATCCACCGCCGCCGCCGCCGGGGCCCGGGTGAGGTGATGATGAAGCCTTGCGTCTCTTGTTGGTCCCGGATCGATCGGAATCATCCAAGGATCCGGCCGCACGGGTCGAAATGGCGCCGGGGTCAGCGGGGAGGGGAGCGGCAGCGGCAGCGGCGGAGGGGGGCTGGCTGGTGTTGGGGACGGAATCAGATCGAGCAGCCGAGAGGGTATCCGGCGCGCAGGCCCAGCTTGAGCAGCTCGGAGCGCACCGGTGGCAGGCGGCGGAAGGAGCAAACCCCGATTGGAACGAACCGAAGCGAATCGAGCCGAATCGCGCGAGGGAGGTCGAATTGAGGGAGGAACAGCTCGGCGCACCGAATTCCAGCACCAATCCTGACCTCGGCAGCAGCACCAAGCGTAGGGGCGAATCGAGGCGGGTCGTGGTGGCCGGTGGGGGATTTGAGGCCGGGGAGCGGAGAATCTTTCCTAATAATCGGGGGATTCCTTGCCCTCTCCTTTTTTTTTTCTTTCGAAAATCGGCGTGCGTGTATTTGCAGGCAATTACACGCACGCGAACAAATACAAATATACGCGAACAAAAGGAGGAAGGAAAAAGGCAAGAGGAAGGAATTTCTGTGCACGGGAAGGAATGGAGAGGAGGAAAAGAGAGGGGCGCGAGTGATGAGTCGCTGCAGCTGCTGCTGCTGCAAGTCTGCAACCTGCAAGGGTGCCGCGGCCCGCGTGCGTGGATCCACCAAGGCTCCAACGCCTTCTCCACCCACCACCCACTAGGCCGCCGGCGCGTGGGGAGCGGGCGTCTCCTGCTTGCGATCACTGAGCCTCTGGGCCCCAGGCGACGTGGGCCCAGCTGTCGGCGACAGGACTGTGGAGGGGTAGGTTCTGCATGCAACGAACGGGGTGGAGCGCTAGGTCTCTCGCATCGCAGCAGAGGCTGACATGGCGGATCGGGACGCGGCTGGCCCGGACGTCGGTGAACGTATCTGCGTGCGTTTCTGTGGAGATGGGCGGGGCTGGACCGCAGGAGGCTTCGAGACGGAGGAGAAGGACGTGGCAGGAGTGATGATGCCTCGGACGTGGCGGGCACTGTTGCCTCAGGGCGAAAGGTTGTTGTGTCGCCTGTCGCGGCGTGAGTGGCCGGGGTGGAAGGGTTTTGTTTTTCCGGTCCTGGGCGGCCGGCCGGCCGCCGTCGAATCGTTTGGCCTTTCCGGGAGGAGCAGAGAACCACGATCTGGGGACACTGAACAGGCCAAGGAGGGAGCAGCGGCCGGTGTGGCTGGGCTGGCAGCATTAACGGCAACTTTTCCGTTATCCCGGCCGTGTCCTGTCACCTGATGACGTGTTTTCGGTTCCCGTGCTTAACAGTACGGAGTACAATGCGAACTGATGTCATAGCGTGGCTAGTCTGTTGTAGTACATCTCGATCTCGTGCGCCCCCATGCGCATGATGTAACGGTGGTCAAGTGGACCACGGCGTCGTCTTTTGACACTGGCTTGTCAAGAACTGGCTTTTCTTTTCGTTAATTTGGATAAAGTTGTTAGGTACACGTACTTTATATGTATCAGAAACGGCAAAACTCTTCTAACCTCAAAGCAGACCGCCGTCGAATCGTCAATTTGGATAAAGTTGTTAGCAACTTTGCGGCAGGAGCCCAAGCCCTTAAAGTACATGCATAAAACAGAGGTGGTCAGTTTAGTGCATATCACATACTACTTCCCTCAACACAGCTTCAAGATTGAATTTGTCGTCATTGAACATTCCCTGTTGTGACACCGACAGAATTAGGCCATGAAAAACAACGCATCCGTACTAGTATGTTGCAATCCTCTTTCAGGATACTACTATTAAACAACCATCAACATCGCCACTCTTTCTTTCTGTTCCCTGCCGAACAAAAGGTCCCGAAACATCGCTAAACCTAGTATGCATATAAATTTTAGAGCTCTTTTGCATTACAGGATTTTTTTAAAGAATTTTGGAGAAATATTGTTTGTGAAGGCAAATTTCCTATCCTATGCACGAAGTTCGAGGAATTAAAGGTCCATTATGGCTTGTTCTACCCAACCAAAAAGAGAAAACACATGCAAAACATGCACTTGGTGTTATTTTTTTATTCGACCTTAACATTCCTGCAAAACGAATCCTTCATTTGTTTTTCTAGTACCCCAATCAAACAACCTTTCACCCAACTTTCCTACATTTTACAATCCTCTGTTTTAGACATGCATTATATCCTATTCCTATGTTTTTCAATTTGTACCTTTAACTTGTCTTGTTCTTATGATTTGTTTTTCGATATGTTTGTGTCGGTGTTTCGAGTAAACAACAACGAGTAAATTTCTAATATTGTGCGCTGACTTGGATGGCGTGCTAAGGGGACACGAGGTTTATACTGGTTTAGGCGGAATATTCCTACGTCCAGTTCGCTGCTGCTGTTCGTGTTACTAGCACTGAAAAGTTCATAGTAGGGGTTACAAACGGACATGTCGGGTTCATAAACCGGGGGTCCCTAATGGGTCTGCTTTCCAGCAAAAGCTCGACCCAACAGACGACATTACAAACAACGCGCGACTTTTGGACCGGCCCAGATACCTAACGGTAGGCCGGAACAGGCGACCCAGTCTCCGATCGAAAGGCCTGGCCAAGGAGGAGACGACGCTCGCTTCCGACTCCGACCCGTTTCTCTGACCGGAAGGCCTGGCCAAGGAGGGGCGACGCTCACTTCCGACTCAGACCCGCTTCTCCGACCGGGAATACAGCGAACCTCTACTTACAGCTTTTCTCCGACCGACGCGGTTGGAGCCGACTGGGAAACGACCGAACGGGGATGCACGCTTGGTAAAGGACCCAAGAATCAGGCGGAGCAGATAATGTGAGGCTCTCAAGTCAAACCGCAATACCGAGGATTGTACCCTGCACACCTGCAGGACAGTACTGTCAGACCATGTCAGAAGGGTGCTCTGCAACCTTCCAGACATGTCAGACCACGAACAGTGTCGTGGGCACCGACTTTTATCCTACAGAATGGTAGGCGCCGACATTTGCCATACCAGAAGAACACAATGGAGCCTACCACATGCATGGGCAACAAGACTAGGTAGCACTCTCTCTCTCTCTTATAAGGCCATCTACTTCATCTATAAAATGGGATGCGCTCTCTCCCAAAAGGAGGATCGATTCCAATGGATCATTCTGACTCTTACTCTGCTAAGCCTCAGACATTCTGAGCACCTGAACAGCTCCACGCCTCTAGAACTCTAAAGCTGCACGGAGTATATGTTCCAACACTTAGAGAACATAGGAGCTCCCGTCATTCTTGGCCTTCGGTCCAGAGTCCGACCGAACCTCTAACACCCCCATCTTACTCCCACTCGTTTGTAACCCCACAGCAAACTTCGAGCACCTGGGCTCAGAAATAAAGTAACCGACCAACTCAAACTGGACATAGGGCACGTTTCCTGAACCAGTATAAATCCTGTGTCATTGAGCGCTAGGCCATATCTGATCACAACGTACGGCAAAACCTACAAATATTTACGTGTTGGTCACTTTTCACACCGACAGTTGGCGCCATCCGTGGGGAAGACACCGTACGTTCACACTTTTGGTCATCAGATGGCCCACCTTTTCGCCATCTTCGCCATGACGGGCTAAAGCGATTCGATTCGCTTTGGCTCGCTGGAGTTTTCCACGCTCCCACCTATTGGGACGTGGGTTCCTCCCGTCTTCGAGCGGTTCCAGACCTTCCTCTTCGGAAGCCTGGACTTCATCGTCGACCAGCTCGGCGTGCTTCGCCTTCGCGAGGAGGCACTTGTCCCGGCGCCAATCGGAGGAGGAGCGCCCTCCGTCGTCCTTGGGACACCCGGCGACCTCAACGAAGAGACGCCTACGCTTTGCTCCGAGCCTACGCTAGGCTCAAACCCCACTATGAGTAACATGCATATTGTTCTTTACTCGTGTTTACACCAGAATTTGGAAGAAGGATTTCGGAGGTTTGAGAGCTCCCAGGATCATGTCAGCAAAGGATCAATTGCGTGAAGATCGAAACCAGCTGATTCGGACGCAAAAACTAGAATCGGCTTTCTTCGGACCACGCCAGCAGATGACGACAGAGGCTACGCTCGACGCTGGGACAAAAACATGTAGGACTCTATAAAAAGAGAAAGATTAGAGTCCAAGTTATCTTAAATTAGGAATGTTTTCGTTTCTTATACCAAAGATTGTAACAAATCGTGCTCGAGTAGGATTCATGTCTAGACTCTGGGTATAAATATCAAACCTTGGCTATTGTAAGAGGACAACCAATCAATCAAATACAAGTCAATTACTTTTTTCGGCTCCGGCCACCCCTTAGGAGTAGGAGTAGGAGTAGAGTAGATCTCGGCGAGTTCTTCAGCAAGTACAGCTACATCGATCCGGTCGACCTCCACTGCTTGTTGTAAGTACCGTCATGGTTTATACCTCTGTTTGTATGGTCGATCGATCCGGTCGAATTTCCACCGCGACTCGGTATAGGCTAGTTATCGACTCTTGCCTAGTTTAAGTATGGCCTGTGTGATTCTGCCTCACACCCCACTGCTTGAACTAGATCAATGTCAAGTTATCGGCTCTACCTTTGAATGGCAGTCTTTGGTAGATTCATTAAGTTACCGATATTGCTCATTGCTTTCATTGTTTATCTAATTACAGCAATATCACTCTGCCCGACTGAGATTGATCTGGATCGGCCTTATATCTTATTTAACCCATCGTTTGCTAATCTAAAATTGATCTAATCTACATCTTAAACAATGAGTTATGTTTTTATCGGCTGTTTTATATCAATCTTAATCGTGCATAGTGTGCGGTTAAAGCATGTTCGATCTTGAGTAGATCTATTGGTTAGCGAGAACCGTTCCATGGCCTGTTATCATGGCCTGTGGGATTCTGCCTCCCACCCCACTGTTAGCATTGTGGAGTGGGGATCGTTAGTTGATAGATTCGTTCCTGAGAAGGCATGA